AGGTCCTTCCCGGGTCATCTCCAGGCAGGTCCTAAGAATCTCAGTCTAAGGTAACCCCGGACACACCTGGGAGACACACAAGGAGCCAAGCGAACAGGCTCCGTGCTGACTTGGGACCAGCACATGCGCACGTTGCAAATGTACAGACTCAGAGGCTATTCTCTGCTCCAGGTTTCTCTGCACCAAATGCCCTGCCTCTGCAGCAATCTCTTATGCGCCTGTGGGCACAGCCTAGATCTCTACTTTCCTCAGAGCCCACCCGCTCCTACCCCTTCCTACCCACCTTCACCCCCCACCCCCTCCCCATGATGCCTGTGGGAGAGAACTGAACAGACAGCAGCCCTCACTGATGCAAGTGTAATGATCCTAAGTTGGCCACTCAGCTGAGCATTCAACACTCCACGTATCCTCTTGGAAAAGGAGTCCTTCCCTCGAGAACAGGTAGAAGTCAGTGTTCCTTGTGAATCAGGAGGCAGCGAGAACACTCTTGCTGATAACTCAACAAGGGCCCCAGACCGGCTGACCTGAGTCACCACAGAGCTTCGTCACCCAGCATTAGCTGTGGTTTTCTGCTTCTTACTTTGAAGGGAGGCAAACACCCGTGTCCTGAATGATGACAGGACATACCAGTCCACACCCTCAGAGGCTTGTTGCCTTGCTGGGATGCTAATCCTGCCTAACAGGACTCCGTAACACTTCTATGGTTATGGTATTAGGTTTATGGAACACCTTTTAAAAATCAGAGTAGTGTGTTAAAAAGGGCATGAAATGTAAATGACATAAGTGGTACGTACCATTTTCAACCAGTTCCTTGAAAACACATATATTTTTCTCATTCTTAAAGTGTCTTACCATCTCCAGCAGGAATCAAATACAATGCACATGTATCACCCCATCCACACTCAGCCCGAAGCAGACATTACTAATTGATCACAGCACTGTTCCCACAGGTGCAACCTTAAATCCTTCTGAACAGCCACTTCCAAGTAATCCCAGTTGACCTAGAAAGTGGAACCATTTCCCATTTCTGCTCCTGTAATATCTGTTGCTACGTCAATGAAGTTTTGGAAACGAGGGTGGGAGGAGGAAGAGAGAAGTGAAGAGAGAAACTGGGGGTAAATTATTTGTCATCAATAAAAACGTATTTGTCAATCACTCAATGTTAGGTTTTGAGCAAGGCACCGCAGAAGTTGAAAATAGGAGCAAGAAAAAGAAAAGGCCCACGAAGTAGGAAATGAAATCTCTACATGAAATGCACACACTCTCACACACAATTACTGTCAATGGAGCAAGAGGCCATCCAGAAGCACCGTTGGTATGATGACAAAATCAAAGTGGATTCCCTTCCCCCAGCATAAAGGAGGTAGAACCTAAGAATATCAATACTATTTCTACCCAATTTTTCCGCCTCCTCAAAGCCAAAGTTTTTTATATAAACAAAGCCCCAGATTTTCAGGAAATGTCTGCTGTGAAGCCTCTGGAAATAGCTCATCAGGTGTTAAACAGCCCAGGAGAAAACAATGACTGAACCATTTATGAAAGAGGCTAAAGTGGAGAAAACCAAGGACGGTATGTAGGTGGGTAGTTCAGGACAACCCAGATTTCTTTAATGCTTTCTATTGGGAGCCTAAACATGCCTTTTCACAAAAGTTAATGACTGTTATCTTCAAGGCCAAACAGTGAGGCCGCTCACCCACATTTGCTCGGCTCAGCCCGCAGTGGAGTCAGATGACATCACAGCCCCCAGAGGGCATTCCTGGCTGAGCCAGAACCAGGCTCTGGGCTGTGTCCACGCACATAGGAGGGGTTGACTCTCTCTCCCAATCACAGGCCAGCTGGTACCTGCCTTGCATAATGGTATATTCCACGGAAGGCACGTATCATATCCCATTTTCTGGCATAACAAACATCCCCACACCCCTCTCTAGTTCACTTCTCAAGGCTGGGAACTCAGATAAACTGTCCATCTGCAGGGCAGGCCTGCGGGGCTCTCTGCAGAGGGAGCTGCCTCTCAGACAGACGTCTCCACCCTCGGCCTGGGAACAGTCACCCCTGGAGCAGAACCCTGTCCCTGCTTCAGGCAGCTCCTCTCAGAGAGGAGCAAACAGCCGGAAAGCGGAAAGCGTTGTTCCCTGATTAGTAGGTGAAGCCCATCTAGGGGGGATGAAGCACATTTATTTTCTTTTCTGCTGGGAAAGAGCAGGCTCATTTCACCAAAGACTTTTCCTTGTCATCACTGAACAGCTCCTTGCAATTCTGGTTCCTTGGGTTCTGAGTTGCAAGCTGAAAAGATGAAGGAATTTTGACCCTTAGGGACTGTTCTGTTCCAAAAGGTTAAACCTTTCTTTCTCCAGCTGAATGTTACAACTAAGAGCATCAATCAAGAAAGAAATGTTTGATAGTGGGTCACTAGATATTAGGTGACGCAAGTGAAGATCAAGAAAGCCTGTGGGGCAGTGTGCAGAAGCCCCGTGGAAAACACAGGCAGGCACTCAGCTCTGAGAACAACGGAATTTTTATAAGGAGCTACTATCTGTGTATTTAAACCTCAGGAGATAATTTAGTTTCCTGGCTCCCTAGAACATCAGCATTTCCTCCCCCATGGGCCAGCAGGATGGGCTTTCACATAACTACCAAGCAGTCAATATTGGGGGGGGGGGGTTTGAGGGGCACTTCAGTGGAGGCGATCCACTTTAAGCAAACCAATTACAGGGAGATTACTACAGAAAAGGATTATCAAATAAGGTCTTTTAATTAAGACACTGATTTTTAAAAAAATATATTTTATTGATTTTTTACAGAGAGGAAGGGAGAGAGATAGAGAGTTAGAAACATCGATGAGAGAGAACCATTGATCAGCTGCCTCCTGCACACCTCCTACAGGGGATGTGCCCACAACCCAGGTACATGCCCTTGACCGGAATCGAACCTGGGACCTTTCAGTCCGCAGGCCGACGCTCTATCCACTGAGCCAAACCGGTTTCGGCTAAGACACTGATTTTTAAAACCTACATTTTTTTTTTCAGCTGCTCACTCATTGCAAAGGAGGTCCATCCCACTGGCTGTTTCACGGGTTAGTGATACAGTTTGCCAATGCGTACAACACCTTCACCTTTACCTAAGGGGGAAAATCACCTTTCATAAACATGGGTAGAATCTAACACCTGAGGATCCAGATATTAAACTATCTATTCAGAGGTGCAAGGGTCATCAAAAAATGCTGCCAACTGCATGAAGAAAGTCCCCATGGACAGGTGAAACCATAAATGCTATTTTGTTCTGATCAGCTACTCCATCAAGTCAATGGAAATGCCTGTGCTTTTTTGTGGGTACATGTCATTGCTAAATTTGGGGGTGAAGAGTCTGAAAGTAAGCCAGCTATTAGCAAATGTGCTAACCCAGATTCTATCTTTAGTTGGACTGTGAAGAACTAAATGTGTTAAAGTAAAAGTGTTAAAGACTCTGCCATGTTCCGCTATTATTTGGGGGAATGTCACCTGGGGAGGTGTGGAAACAGGGTGAGAGGAGGTGAAGCCAGCACCCTAGTAGAGGGCTTTAGAGACTACAGTTCACGTGCTGTGACTTTCAGGCATGAATGGAAGAGATCATCCTTTAAAACAACACCCTTTAAAAAATTTATGGCAGAGCCCAGCCAACATGGCTCAGTGGTTGAGCATCGACCTATGAACCAGGAGGTCATGGTTCGATTCCCAGTCAGGGCATATGCCTGGGTTTCAGGCTCAATGCCGTGTGGGGCACGCAGGAGGCAGCCAATCAATGATTCTCTCTCATCATTGATGTTTCTATCTCTCTCTCCCTCTCTCTGCCTCAATGAAGTCAATAAAAATATATTTTAAAAAAATTATGGCAGAAATACCAACAGGCCTCCATGAATGAATTTCTTATTAGAGGTTCCCTGGTCACAACAAAAAATGTCAGGTAGCACAACTCTTGTGATCTGTCTTCTGAACAACTGAAGTCTTGACCAAAGGAGAGAAAAAAACAAAACAAAACTCTACCACACTCATTTCTTTATGATATTTCACAGTGTTGGAAAGTAATAAGATTTCTTTTCAGCCAGCATGACACTTCCATGCATGGAAAGTACTCTCAATCTGGTAAATATTTAGGGGAGTGGCTGTCTGAAAATCTGATTACGTTGAGCCTAATGTCTGCTGCAAATGGCACTCACCCATGTGAGTGACTCCAGACACCTCAGCATCCAGAACCTTCCATGACCGACACAGAGAAGCACACTAGTGAGATGGCTAGATCAGCGGGCAAGGATTCTGGGTTCAAATCCTAATTCTGTCACTTGCCGACTATGGGAGCTCGGGTGAGTTACTTTACATTTTGTGCCTCCGTTTGCTCATCTGCAAAAATAGGGATAATCATATCTCATAGGATTTCTAGATGGGTTAAAGGAGTTTGTGAAATACATAAAGCACTTAAAGAAATTACCATATATAGGCACTGTGCTAAGTGGTGGCCATTATCTCCTCAAAGAGTACCTTGCCCTGTCACACCAAGAACCCTCTTCCTGAGCCCTCGGTGCCCGCTGTGTATCTCATCATATTGTGAAAAACTATGTGTCTGCTTCTGCTACAAGCTATGAAAAATTCAGGGGCAGGACACAAGAGCTAGGTCACGGCCCTCTGCATCAATATCACCAAACCCTGCAGAGAATCTGCACAATCCATGTAGAAAATAAGTAACTTCAACAAACAAATAAATAGCATCCCTCACTTTGAGCTGATGAATCTTATTTTTGTTATTCAGCCCGTTAGCTCTATAATACAGCATCAAGTGAATAAAGTGGCTGCCATTGGTGAATTAAGAACCACATTGCATTAGCCCCAGCTTACAAAAATCACAACTGTTTGCTCACTTGGAGACAGTCTACATGGGATGACAGTGGAGGTACTCCGAATGCCTCTGTTATTACTGTTAAAAGAAAAAAAAAAGTCCTGCCTTTTATCAGAAATAAAAGATAAATCCAATTTAGTTGAAAGGACTTTTGTTTATTTTCCCCTCCCTTCCACAGTAAGGGAAAGAGGCACTTCACGAGAAATAAGCTCACATTACACAGTGAGTTGATGTTGTTTTCCTAAGCGTAAATCTCTAACTTTTAAGTTATTCACTGGGGCATAACCAGTTCATTCACCAAAACCTTTTACAACTACAGAAGGTTCAAAATAAGAACTTACTTGAAATGATGGCCTTCATCAGAGGTCCCATTCTCTTGATATAGCATTTGATCCCAATATAGGAACTTGGAGTTATGCCTTTTGTACTTTTTTTCTCCCCAAAGGAAATTTAAAATAGAGCAGAATTTTGCTTAACTAAGTCAGGGAGAAAACTACTCACTGGAACTTACAATTCACAGGTAGTAATGGAAGTTCTGCAATAATTACAGGTACCATATGGGGATCAGAGTTTACTAGTGATGACCTTCAGGCACTGAGAGACCCTGAAGTAGCTTCTGAATCATTAAAGAATGATGAAGTTACATAACAATCTTTAACGTGTGTGCACCTAACAACAGAATGTCAAAATACATGAGGCAAAAATTAATTGAATTGCAAGGAAAAATAGATAAATCCATTATCAGAGTTGGAGACTTCAACACTCCTCTATCAGAAATAAGCAGATCCAGCAGGCAGAAAATCAGTAAGGACATAATTGAACTCCACAACACCATCAACCAACTGGATATAATGGACTATTTTGTCCAAATACACATTCTTTCTCAAGCTCACATGAGCATTTATCAAAACAGATCACATTTTGGGCTATAAAACACACACTAATAAATTTAAAAGCCCAGAAATCATTCAATGTTTGCTTTTAGACTACAAAGGAATTAAATACTGAAGATTAGGCAACACACTTCTAAATAATACATGGATCAAAGAAGAAATCTCAGAAATAAAATGTATTTTGAATTAAATAAAAATGGAAATACAACTCATCCAACTGTGTGGGATGCGGCTAAAGCAGCACTTAGAGGAAAATTTATAACATTGAATAAATATATTAGTAAAGAAGAAAGAACTAAGATCAATAATTTAAGTTTTTACCTTAGGAAAAGTTTGAAAAAGGAAAGCAAGTTAAATTCAAAGTAAGGAGACTATGATAAAGTTATTTATTTCAGTTATCATCTTGTTCTACTCTAAATATCTGAAAATTAGTCACCCACATGGGACAGTATTTCTCAAACATTTTAATTAAAATCCCTGAAATGGCAAAAGGAAGGAGCTCATACCCATTCCTTTAGAGTCTGGGGCACAGTGTACAACAAAGGAAAAAAACACACCCTAATTTATTTGAGGTTTTACGTTCTAAAAGTTAATTTTGATATTTCAATTTCCATTCTATTCACTAATATATCTGAGTATGTTTTAATACAGAAAATGTTCTAACTTGCCAGCTAAGTTCCTTTTGGATTCTTTAATTATTCCTCATTTCAGGGAGATGTGCTGGTTTTGGTCTGTGGATCCAGGTATGCCACGGCATTCTCCATAGTACTCCCATTTGAGAAGGGGGATGAAAATATACAGTCTCTGTTAACCAGAATATCACATAGTGGATTGTAGGCCTGCCTCGTGACCCCCAAATCCTGCAAAGCACAAATTCCAGAAAGAATAGGAGAGCATAGGCAGGTTCATCATGCCTTTCAGTAGAGACCCAATGCTCATCAGTCCTCGGCCAAGCTGAGGATGAGTGAGGTAAGGCATCCTTTCTCCCCAGGGATTGAACATGTAAGTAATCCTTCTCTCTGTCACCACATTAATGTTCATTTCCTCCACCACCACAAGTGTTTCTTCTTCCAACATGCCCTGGGTGAGAGGGAAGGAGAAGTCTTGCCATGAGAGGGAGAAGTGAAGTGATGCTCACTATAATGCATTGTCTGCTTTCCCAGTTCTCAATATTTTCTGTCCCAACTTTCTGGGGCAATGACATGTTCCCAATCCAAAAGAATGATTCATTACAGGGTGAGCCTCATATTAGTGGAAAGAACAGAAATTCCACAAACAGACCCAGTACTCCTAAGAATGTATCAGGTGACAAATGTGGGATTTGAATTCAGTGAGTAGATAATAAATTATTCAACAAATGGTATTTAGAGTAACTGGATCATTACTTAACAAAAGGCAAGTTAGACTTTTATCTCACATCTTACACCAAAATACAGTCCCAAGAAATTGAAATTTAAACCCAAAAAGTCACAACTTAAAAGTACAAGGGAAAATGAGAGATCAGTCATTGAAATGCCTTCCTACCCCAAGACTAAGTATTATGCAAAAGCAGAAATCACAATGGAATAATGAACAGATTTTAAGTCCTTAAAAGTAAAAACACAACCACACGTCTGTAAACCCAAACACAATACATCTAAGTTTAAAAGGCAAAATGAAGAAAATATTTTCAATTTAATTTTTTAAAAACTGCTTACAAATCAACACGAAAACAACCTACTCAAATCATGGTCTAAGGACAGAAATAGGGAATTCACAAGCAAGTAAATTCAAATACTCAAACGTGAAGAATCTTTAAATTCTACCAAACTTTGGTCTTACCCAAAGAAATACAAATTAAAATAATTAGATACCATTTACCAACATAATTAGAAAAGTCTAGAAAATGATAATATTCACCATAGGCAAGGTTGCTGATAAATAGGTATTGACACGTAGGTGGTAGAAGTATCAATTTGAACAGCTGTTCTGGAGGGCAGATGGTCAAAACATGTTAAAAGGTGAAAAAGTGTGTACCTTTGGAACTTAGTAATCCAGCTCTGGGGAATAGTCCATAGAAGATAATTAAAAGACGCTAGTAATAATTTAGCTGCAAGAATTTTCATTTCAGGTTTGGGTATTTAAAAGTTTGAAACAACCTACATCTCAATCAATAAGGGATACATAAATAAACAATGATAATTCTATAATGGAATGTGTCATAGTCATTAAAAATTATAGGTTGATAAGATATATTTATATTGTTTGCCACAGAAATAGTTTCCCTATGTACTGTAAATAAAAGGCAGATTTAGAAACATAATCTACTAAATGGCATTTTGAAGGAAAAAAAGTGAATATACAAATATCTGTATCCATACCCATAATGAGATCTGGTAGGATACCTACCTGCTGGTTAAACCTAGTAAGAGGATGCCTCCGGTGAGTCAAATTTGGGCTTTTTTTTTTGAGTGGAAGAGGGAGGGAAAGAGAGAGAGAAACATCAATGTGAGAGAAACAAATCTATTGGTTGCCTTCTGCACGAGCCCTGACCAGGCTGGGGAGGAGTTTGCAACCAAGGCATGTGCCCTTGACCGGAATTGAACCCAGTTCCCTTTGGTCTGCAGGCCGAGGCTCTATCTGCTGAGCCAACCTGGCTAGGGCTGGGTATGTTTTTTAGATTCTTTTGTTTGTAGATTCTGATTTCCGCTTCATTTTGGAAAAAGAATAAGTAGGATATAACTGAGGCTGGCAGAGAAGAAGTGTGTTCTGAATGGCCTGCATGGAGAGGTGGCAACCAGAGGGTGTGCATCTGTGAACACTAAGTGGCCTGCACCGTGGCCAGCATAAGTGTGTGTGTTTTGTGTGTTTTTGGAGGGGGGCAGGGTTGTGGTTGATGAGGTTCAGAGAGAGTCCAGATCCAGGAGGATTCCCCAACTGGGTACTGTCCGAGTTGACCTCACCTCCCTAAAAAAATGCTCAGGCCCCAGGCTTGCTTTCTTCATTCTAGTTCAGGGACCTATGATTCATCCCCTGAAACCCTAATTATAACACCCAAGGTCTGCTATGTGCAAAAAAACATCTGTCATTGTTTCAATTTGTTGGCAGGGGGTGTGGATAGCATGCAAACTGGCCCAATGACATGCTCCTCCAATGCAAAATAATAACCCAGGAGCCATCCAAGGTGAGAAGTGCTCAAGCCCAGAGTTTCCATCTGAGCTGGGTGCTAAGCAAGGTGAACAGTTTATGTCCCTTCATAGTTCATATGCCAATTCCTCAGAGCCACTGACACGGCAAAAGTTAGAGGCCTTGAGCTATTTCTTCTTTTTTTAATTGTTGACAGTATGTCCCCCATCACCCCTCACCCTTTGCCCCCTTCCACCCCACTCTAGGCCTTCACTACACTATTGTCCGTGTCCATGTCTTATTTTTTAAAATTAAATTAAAAAAATTTTGGGGTAATACTGGTTAATAAAATTATACAGGCTTCAGGTGTACAATTCTATAATACATGTATATTGTATTGTGTGTTCACCACTTCAAGTCAAGTCTCCTTCCATCACCATTTATTCCCCCTTTCCTCTCTTCTGCCTCTCCCCCACCCCCGCTGTTTCTTTCAACTAAGAAAAGGATCCTAAGTTTGTGTTTTCCCAGTTGGTTGCCAAGGCCTGCGGAGGGAGGGAGCGGAGTGTGTAATTGCAAACCTCTCATTTATCAGTGTTGGCTGCTTTTGTGTCACCAAATTACGTGTACCATTTAGCCAGTTAATCTCCGGTACCTCTTGGAAGTACATTAATTACACAGAGAATGCCGCAGACCTGGCAAGAGATGCTGGAGGAGCAGTTAAGGTACATCTATCTCTAAGTGCCCAGGAGACTTGTTTACTGACTGACCTCATTCAAACTCAAGCTGGAGATATGGCCTCTTTGTAAGAATCCAATCTTTTGACCTAAAAGTAGTGATCTTCAAAACAAAACAAAAGACAAACAAAGAGCAAGTGAGCAAACAACAACAACACAAATCTCCCACACAAACCTGGGTCCTCTTACTTCAAATGCTATCGTAGCATCTAGTAGTCACTTCTGAGGCTCCACCTGTGCTCACAGTGGCCAAGGGCAGAGATGAAGACTGAGTCTCTGCCCTCAAACAAGTAGAAAAGAGAGGGCAAGTACCAACCAAGGTTAATCCAAGGCAGGACATGGAGGGGCCGAACTCTGCTGCTGAGGTTCCTAGCCAGAAACATTAACATATTCAAAGATTAAAACAAAAACAAAAGCAGGCTGGAATTCCACTAAGTTATATGTACAAGCTTGTTACACACGCAGTTATGTGTACATGCCTTCTTCAGGAAGCCCTAAGCATCTACAAGTACCTGAGAAGTACAAGAAGGAGAAGGTGGGGAAAATGGAAAGCTTTGCAAGGTAAGGGGACAATGAAAAATTAAAGGCAAAGGTACTGAGATTTCACTTGACAAGGGGAGAGACTCTACATGAAAGAAAATGGTTTCCTACGACTTAATAGAAAGCACTACCAAATACATGAAATTCCATTTCAATAAACTTCCAACTTGTTCTTTAAGCCTAGGTAATGATTTATTTAAGTCATATTCAATACAACCAATCCATACTATTTCAAAAGAATTTACCCAGATTTTTAGATTTGGTATAAAGCAGTGGTTCCCAACATAGGGCACACGCCCCACAGGGGGTAATTTGATTTTTAAGGGGGACAATTAGAGAGTGAGCTGTTAACAGTGAATTTTTTTGCATTTCTTATGGTTCTAGGGGCCTCATATATAGTACATAAATATATATTGTGACATTTATGCATTTCAGTTCTCTATTATATGTTTTGAAACTTTATTTGCTATTTTTTCATATCACTTCATATTATTTTTTTTAACAATTTCTTAGTGATTCCTTCCTCAGTACTTCAACTGTCCTTTCGTTCCTTTATTTTTCTCTTTCATGGATGCCATGTTCTTTGGAAGCTTGTTTAGAACAAGTTAATGGCCTTCTAGGTTTCCTCCACGTGAACAGGAGTTCACTTTTTTAATAATAAGAATTATATGTCACAGGGGGGCATCAGGATTTTAGAGATGCTTAGGTGGGGCATGGCCAAAAAAAGGCTGGGAACCACTGGTCTAAAGGGAATGTGCCTTGCATTTGAAATGAAGAGTTCCTAAGAGATGGTTCTGGTAGCCCAGATTTCAGGCTTTCCTATTTCAGGCTTTTTTATACTTGACATTTCATGGTCAGGGGAGGGGAGGGAGGCAAAACAAAAGCAAAAGTACCCAAATCTCTAGATGCAATTTTAAACATATTAGCGTTTAGTTTATACTTGAAGTTTACACTTAAAAATGAGGTGATTAAAAATATTTGAAATGGCCTTGGTCGGTAACTCAGTCGATTGGAATATTGTCCCGTACACCAAAAGGCTACGGGTTCGATCTCTGGTTGGAGTATGTATGGGAGGCAACCTATCAGTGTTCCTCTCTCTCCCTTCCTCTCTTTCTCAAATCAATAAAATATATAATCGGGTGAGGGTAAAAAAATACATATTTGAAATGGTAAGCAGAACAGCAGTCAATTTTGGCAATCCAAAAAGAGAAAGAAGGAGTGACATGATTAGCATTGGCTAGCTTAAGTCTAATAACATTGGATTCTCACATTTCCCCTGGGTAAAGTACAAGAACACTTAGAACAAGAGACTTCAGCAAGAGTTCTCACTGCCCTGGCCAACGAGGCAAGCACTTTTAATAGTTGCTCATAAATCCACAGTGGCATTTATAAATGTCAGAATGTACTTATAGATAAAATGCAATTGGTTAAGCCCGAAGCTTCCCTAACAGCAACTGACTGAAGAGCAGTGGTTCCCCCCTGTCTCCCCAGCAGCAGCCTAAGCCACACCAGGGAACTTGTTAGCCATGCAAACTCTCCTGTTTCCCACCTGGCAATCTGGTTTACCAAACCCTCCAGGTGGTTGTGATTTGAGGGCACTGCTGTGGAAGATGCTACAGAGGTTGTGCTTGTGAAACCAAGCACAAAATGCCCAAATTCAGCGTGTCAGGCTGTTCCCTTTTTTGGTTGACCCAACCTCCACTTCCCATTGCCCATCCCTTTTAGTGGGCAGCCCAAAGAGTAGGACCCTGTTCAAACACGCTTTCAAAAGGCTCTCAGAGATAGGGCTAATGGAAAAAGTCACCTAGTTTTTGTATGTTACCATAGCAACACAACGGCACGAAGCATCATTTATTCGTACAAGAAAGGTCCCCTTTGCAGGGGATGTGGCGTATTACAGAAAAATTCTGAGGAAACCAAATTTTGGAAAAGCAAATATGGGAAACGCAGCTTCTAAGGCTCCAGATACACCTTTACAGCCATGTTCTAAGTGAACTTTCCCTAATTATGGCTGCCCAGGAAGGAAAACCTGTGTTCTGGGCCAACCCCCACTGTCTACACTGAAAGACAAAATTTCCATGCAATGGAGAAACGTCTTACTTCATGCCTCCTACTGGCCTCAGTCCCAAACCCACAGGGAAGCTGACCTGTTTCATCTCTACACATCCTTAGTGACACTTGGCATCCTAGGATGTCCTTCTTTAGGTCTACATCCAGTCCTCCTCCTGGGAGCTGCCAGAAAAATAATAATGTTTATTTCTAGATTATAAAACCTACTTCTGTATCACAATATCACTTTCATTTGTGTATAACCCTTTCTTTTTTATAGTTTATAAATAGCTTCCACGTTTCCATCTCATTTGATTCTCATAATAACCTGTGAGCTGGGCACAGTTTTATTTCCACTTTACAGTTGAGAAAACTGGAACTTAGTGCTGAATTCAGTAAACAACCGACCATGAAATGTAATGGAGGAAATACAAATATTTTGCATCAAAAATTAAAGAATTCACAATGTGCAAAAGAACTCTCAAACTTGCTTGAATTTGTCATCTGCCAAATGATATTCACAAAAATCATTAGGCAGGTTTTGAAGTTGGGTGGTATTTTTCTGGCTTAAGAAGGATGGGGAGCAGGGAGATGAGATGAGTAAGACAGACACTCTCCCAGTTATGGAATCCACATAACCTGCAATGAAATTCTATGGGGTTCACTTAATAGCAAGGATAACTTGATGGTGCTAAGATTAATTAAGATCTTACTACATGCCAGGCACTATTCTATGTTCATTACAAATATCCAACAACCCTATTAATATCACCATTTCAGAGATGGGAAAAGCAAGGCACAGAGAAGCTAAGTAACTTGCCCAAGATTACACATCTTGCTCCCTGGATGCAAAGGAGGATGTGGGACTGGAGATGCCAAGCCCCTGTGAGGTTTGCTCTGCCAGCGATGGAAACCTGACATGGGAGGGCAGCCACCACAGGAATCTGGATTACTTTTCCAGGGTTGCCATTTAATCATCAGTCTCCACACTCTCTCTGCCAAAACCTCAATCAGTGCTCA